ATAAGAAATATATTCACAATTCCTGAGTAAAGGAATTTAATAAAAAAAGAATGATTAGTATAATTCTAATACCAGAGATTAATCACAGAGAGAAAAACTAAAAAAGTGAGAGAATTAGGTTCACAAATATAGATGTATATGAAGAATAGTTGGAGAACAATAAAAACTCAGAAATAAATTATAAATAAGTAGCACAACTTTTAGGAAAAGTGAACAGGTTAACATATCTAGTAGCAAAAAAAAATTCTTAAAAAGATGCCCATTCATTTAGTAATGTATGGGCCTATGTGACAGAAATGCTAAAAAGGCTTTAGGTAAATACTTATTTGTGGACTTTTTAACATTGGATGGTGATGCTATATTTATGACATTGGAGGAATACACAAATCCCAGAGAAAACACTTCACGGGGGGGGCGGGGGGGGATGTAAACATAAGGGTAATATGTACCAAACGTCTTATTTTGAATTCTATATATGCTCTTACCACACTATTGAGTTCACCAAATTATGAAAACTCACAGGAAGCAGACAGAGATAACGAAGGAATGAAAGAAATGTTACTAAACAAAACATGTTACAATTCCAATCAACACAAAACTTGAAGTGCTCATAGACATAATATAGATGCCTAAAAGAATTTTCCCCAAATGAGGTTTACTTTAAAGATGTCTAGGCAAAGTGTCAGTAATGTTTTAAAGGCAATGTTCCAAAATTTCACATCTTTTCTTTTGTTGTGGGTTAGTAGAGTTAAAATTTCAAAAGGGCTCACAGCCAAAGTGATTTTTTTTCTGGCAAGATGTCTAGGCAAAGTGTCAGTAATGTTTTAAAGGCAATGTTCCAAAATTTCACATCTTTCTTTTGTTGTGGGTTAGTAGAGTTAAAATTTCAAAAGGGCTCACAGCCAAAGTGATTTTTTTTCTGGCGTACACGGACTAGTCTAAATTTTGTATAATATAAAGGCAGGATGGATCGTGACATATTCAATAAATGGTTCCCTCTAGTCCTACAATTCTAGAAAATCCTATGGATTTAGAAAATTAACAAGTCATTGTGTCAATGTAGTTTTATACTTTGTTCAATATAATTTATTATTGTATGACCCCTGAAAAAAGGATTTTCACAAATATATTTTAGATGAAATCATTGATTATTTATCTCACGACTGTCTTCAGTTTTTAGGGATTGGTTATGCTTAGAAACCAACATCTTTCAAAGTAAATCCTTATTTCTTTTTAACTGTGTTGTATAGGCTGATTGAAACTAAAAGACATACTCATTCACTGACAAAAATCTTAGAGACAATCAAAGTATAAAGTCAAAATCATAAGCGAGAATAACTACAAAAAATATGAGTGTATTGTTTTAACTACTGGAGTTTCTCTAAATTATATTAATAATGTAGCTTTTATCAGTTATATTCTTGAACTGAAATTAATTTTATGCTTTTTATTTGTGGAGACTATCCAGATTGTTTTATATGTAATTTATTACGTCGTTTGAAAGACTAAATTGTTTTAAATAAGATGTGTAAAATTCTAAACAAATCCTTGAAATCTTCATGATAAAAATGCAATGTTATTTTAAACCTTCTGAAAATATTTTGTTTTATCTTAATATTCTTTAAAGTGCTGAAAGAAATTATTAATTTTATTAAAGTTAAAGTGGCATTTTAGTATTTTTTAAATTACTGTAAAAATTATAGGTAAAACTAAGCTAAAATAAATTAACATCTTCAAGTAAATCTAAATATATTGTTTTGAATATATGACCATATTCTACATGTTTAAATTTATTTTCTCAATCTTTCAGTGTATCACTTGTTCCCTATCAAGTATTAGCAAACTATAACATTATAACAAAAATAAGAGAAAGCAAACTCATAAAGTACTTAAGACTAACTTGACAAGCATTAATTGATGTGTTCAAAATTACTCCTCATTAAAAAAAATGTTTCATTTTATTAAATGCATTACGTATACTCTTCATGGATCTTTTCTTATATATTACATAAAGAAGAAAACATGACTGTATTTAGGCATTTTTGTAAAACCCAAAAGCATATTTTTTAACACATGCATATATACCTAGTTCTGTGTAAAAGTTGGTATCTTACAGTATTTAATTTTAACTTTAGCAGTAAGAGGTATAGAAATGGAAAGTTCTTGGTACAAACAATGATCTCATTTGTATTTTTAAGCATATCACTAGTTCCCTGTCATTATATAAATATTACCATTTCACTTTGTTAGGCTTTTTTAGATTTACAAAAAAACTAAATACACAGCTACTTCTCTGAACATCAAAATGTACACTATGTTCATTATAAAACTAAATGCATGTTTAGCAAAAGAAAAGCTGCAACCTCAATAATTACTTAAACATTCTGATTAAAAGCAAGTAATTAGTGTCAATTTTTAGCTTTTCTAATTACATAAGGGATTTGCTTTTTAATTTAGATGAGAATATTTCCATTCTTGATGATAAACAACACAAGTACTAAAAACTAGCACCATATGAATGGGGGAGGGGCAGGAATAGTTTTGATTTATACTTTGTATTATTAGATTAATCATAAAATTGAACATGCCTACCGAGTAGAGCCATGATGTAAATTTAAAGATAACTGTATGAATCTTGGATGATATTAAACACCAGAAGCTTATTTTTAAAAAAATAGTTTAAAGTTGTGATAAAGTTGTATGAAGAACTAAGAAGAGCATAAGTAAAACAACAAAATAGCTATTTTTCTGCTAATTTTCCATCCAGGTCACACTTCAACTCAAACCCTAAATTCTGAGGAGTGTGAGCTGGCTGAAACAGATAAACTCTTATTAAAATCTAATTTATTCCAACACATATATGTGAATAATATGCAAACAAATCAACAATTTTTTTTGGTAAAATAATGCTTGCATTCTTTGATTTTTACCAACACACATAATTGCTAATGAATTTCATGATCCTGAAGTCAGGTTTCTAAATGAAAATACTAGATTCTTAAAAGTAGAGACATTCGTGTTAAAATATCTGTGGCATTAATATTTTCTTAATGAAAATTATTACTGTGATTCTCTAAATTAAAAAAAAGAAAAACTAATCAGTGCAGAAAAGACATTTGTAGATGTTTAAAATTTCAGTTCTATATGCAAGTGTAATTTCACCAAGATTAGTACTCAGAGCAAAAGAAGGCAAATTGATTTTCCACTCTATTTGGAGTAGATTTATTTGTTAATATATGCTAAAATCAAATATTTGTATTTATAAAAATACACATTTTAATTACTCTAAATAATATGCCATTTCTCTTTCTACCTTGAAATAACTGATAATGCATTTCTATAAGGTATCTAAGTTGAAGTGAAACTATGGTTAAACATGCTGTTTAAAATTTAGAAAAGTTTTACTTCCAAAAATAAGTAAAATTTTAAATCCAGAATTCAATTTGAGAGGTAAAGACCACATCAGAGTCATCACTTATTAAAATTTGATTTCAGGCTACTTAAATTCACTAGTACGTGTAGATGTGTGAGTTAAACTTTAGCCCTTTAGCATCCAAATTACACCTTAGGCATCTCAGTGCTTTCTTTTTTTAAAAAAGTAATTGTATATCATAACTTTAAAATATAAAGCAAAACACATATCAATGATTTATAGGGAGACAAAATTATTTGGTTCCGAAGTGATAAAGTACTACATCATAGGGTATTGGAGTTAAAATAATTTGAAAATCTGAACTCAGTCCTTCATAAAACAGGATTTGATCACTGTTGTCATCATAATGTATACATCTGATGAAATACCCACTAATTTTCATATGACACTTGCGTATTCTCACAATCAATGTCCAGATTATTAGCCATGTCCTCAATGAATTCAGTCCATGCCTTTCATATTGTAGATTCATAAGGGCTAAGATATATGTTCTTTTTTTTTTTTTTTTCTTTCCTTTAAGGTTTAAATTGTTTTTTTCCTTCCCATTTCATCAGTCATAAAAGAAATGATACTTCTACAATCTGTCCCATCCTTTGTTTCTAGCTTATGATTCTATGATATTTTTGCACTAGAAGATGAAAGAAAACATCATGTACGATGGATTTGCTATACAAGACAAAAGTCATTTGATTGAGTTGTTATGAGTTTTACCTTTTTTCAAATGTTATTTATGTGGTTTGACCAAGACATTGATTGAATTGCCAGTAATACTTATCCATTCACTAAAAGGAAAAGATTCCTACCTAGCAGAGAATAAGTGGGATAATTTCATTACCAAGATCCTCAAAGGAAATATATTACAGACTCTCAAAGCATCTTTATTGTTCACAATTATTGTATCAAATAATTCACTTAGAGAATATGATCTCAATATTGAAAGAGCTGAGTATAATTATCAATGTCTCAATGTTAGAAGAACCTATTATTTTCAATAAATGAAGAATATTGCTGTACTGATATGATTCTATTGAGTTCCTCTAATTCTGATCAGAGACTTGAATCCAAACCAACATATTACTAAATCATCTTGAATAGTTAAAATGATGCCTACACTGCTTTCTGGAATTGGTTTGAGGTGTTTAAAATTGCATGATAAAGGATGATTAAGCAATAATGCTGGTATCAATAAGAAAATGAGATCTCTTAGTGACTCAAGTGTCAAGAGATAAGTTCTTCCACCTTAATTTAACCCTTCAAAACACACAGAAATCAAGTAAGCGAAAGTGCAATATTCGAAGGAAATATGAAGGACGTTTAAAAAATGCTTTCTTCAATAAAAGCAAAATCAGTGTTTTAGTGTTGTCAACACAAATGTCCTAACACAGGAACCTATCTTTCTGTTAAGTAAATTCACTTTTCCATACCCAAGTGCCGCCTGCATCCAAAAGTCACTTTTATCCTTGTTTCTAAAAGCAACCTGAACTCTATTTTTATCAAGAAGAATGGACTGTTGAACTTTATTTCCTCAAAGGGAATACTTTCATACATCCTTTGGTATAATACTTACTCAAATATGGTGGTTTGTAAGGCGCTCGGGTATTAGACAGCAGTCCATCCAGCTCCTTTCTCTCCAGCGTGCTGTGAAGGGCCTTCTCTTTGCCGAAGGTGGAGAAAGACCTCTCTGCCCCAGGCTGGGCTTCTGGAGTTTCAAACACCTCTGTGTCTGGAACAGAGTCCATGCCGGGAACATGGAGATTGCTGCGATAATCGGCAGCCTGGCGTCCATCAGAAGGGACAAAAGAAGGCATCCAGCACCGATCTGAGTGGCCCAGTGCTTTACATTCCTCAGTGCAGTTGGAGAAGAGATCCATGCCTATAAGCAGAAAAAAAGAAACTACAGACGGAGTCTTCATCCACATAACCAGACACTTAGTGGTGAAAGATTAGAGGTAGCATAAAGAGTGATGGACGAAGGTGCCCACAAATTTTTCTTAACCAGACAGGAACCAAAAATCTCTTTGTGTCATTATGTTCATCACTTTAAGAAGAGAAGATAATTATCAAATGTAAAGAGGGTTCTGAGATAGATGTTTCTAAACTACTCCGAGTATTGGGGGGAAAATGTTGGCTCTAAACTATTTAAATGACTAGGAACTAGTGAATAGGAAATGAATCATAACAGAGAAAACCATACGTAAAGTCTTCATAATCTATAATCCCTAATAAGTCATTTGACATTTTTTTCTTAGAGACAAAAATAGAAGAAATATGCCAAG